GTTGTGCGGGGTGGATGTTGATGGTGGCGGCAGTAAAGTCGCTGTCATCATCGGGATCGTGTGTGTGTACACATTTATGTTTATAATACATTTACGATTGTGTATGTGTCTGAACTCGAGGGTGGAAATACACAGTATGTATATATAAAGGGTGTACGAGTACACGTGGTGTATGTGAAGGTGGAGACGACGGGGTGTCCCAGCAAGAATATCGAGAGTAGAAGTAAAAAAAAATATACGGCTGTTGGTTAATGCAAATGTGAAATTTTCCCGGTGTTTTCTTATCGCTATAAGTTGTTCTCCGTCTCCACTACTCCCACCTACACCACATATTTTGCTTTCTGTTCTGCTCACTATGTCTCTCTATCTCATCGTTCGTGAAACCTGCACGCTTGCGTAGTAGGATGTCATACAATACGTGTATAGTATATTATAATATTGTAGCAAGGCATTCAGACTATTTTTCTCTTTATTTACCCGCTCTCACTCTCAATCGACTGATTACTATAAAGGATCGACTATACATAGTCTAAGAGAGACGGTCGAGACATAGAATATATGTTATATTTATTTATTTAATTTGATTTCATATACATATGAATACTGAGACCCATTAAAAAAACTCGTATGGGACCTCAGGAATACATTGTACATACATGTATTACAAACATTATTATTTATTAACAGTATTTTTTCTATGTACGCTTTTTTTTCGTTTCTTAACATATATATAAAATATTTACTTTATTGATATGGTGCGTAAAATAAAATTATGTTTTTTCATCTTTAAACTATGTGCGTGCGTGCGCTTTCCGATGTATTCGATTGCATACCAAATAAATAAACATACATAGGAATGTTTAAATTGCATGCTATCTTACAAACCCCTATCTACCTGAATTTCACGACCTGTATAATTTTAATAAATAAAATAATTTAACTTATTTTTCCACTAAAGGAACGGGCTTTTGTTACATCACAATAAAATATAAAAATATTGGAGAAGGTGACACTTCGAATATTAAGTATAAAATAAAACAATTGTAGTTTACGGTAATCAAGTGAATATATTTTACATCTTTACATAGTATTTCAAATAAATAATAATATTATAAAATTTGATGGAGTTTTTCGATATTTTGAACATAGAATATCATAATTTCAATATAAATATATTATCTATAATAAAATATTGTCTATATTCTATAACTCAGCAGTTCCCAACCTGTGCACCACGGCTCATTCACGAATGAAAAAAATTGTTTATAATTTATAGTAGTTAAAAAAACAAAAATTGTACATGTACAGAATTACTTAGCAAACTCTGCATAATATCTAATAGTGATTCTAATCTGTGTTGATTAATAGACAAATAATACACGCCGCACAAATTTAGATAACATTATATACGCGTGACTTCCTCGGATATTAAAACCGTCATGTAAAACCTGACCTCCGTATCTATTTATCAAAAATTGAACCAGACATTACTAAACTTTTCAAAAATATGCAGTCACAAAAATCTCATTAGTTTTTCACATTCATTTTTAACTTTTATACCAGTTTTTCTGTTTTTTAATATTTGTTCTCTATATTTTCAACTATAATTTTGCAATTAATTTACAATATGTTCAATAAAATTATTTAAATTGGTTATTAATGAGTACTATAGTGTTAATTTGTATCATGTTCTTTGTAGTATTCACGAAAAGGTGACATCGATAAATTTGGACCAACAAAAGGGCACCGTCAGCTAAAAATATTAGGAATCGTTGCTTTATACTCGTATTATTATATTCAACGACATAAATTAGAAATTTGAAAAATTATTATTTTATTTATTTTGTTGTCAGCAACGCTATACGTCCAACTTTTTTGCATATGTAATTCTATTAATTACATTACTAAGTTGTCCATATACTTGCATGATAAATAAACTTATGGGTATATACAGCATGCAATCAGACAAACCCATCAAAGAGGTGACATGAAATTCAAAAACAGCCACACTTTCATATAACCACCCGATGATGTGAATAATATTTCGCTTATATTATTAGACTATGTCAATTAATTTTGCTTGCTTTATTGGTGCGTTTATCTATCGCCTCAACTGTAGTTTTTTGTTATAGTATTGTCATCGGAAAACCGGAAATCGTGGAAAGTCGAAGTAGTATTAGTTACGGTAAAACACGATTGAGCATAGAATATTTTATGCGATGTTGCCACATTTACGTTGCGAACATTTTGTAGTTTATTATTTTCACATATTATTACACCAATTATTAAGATATATCAGGTGCGAGTTGTGAGCCGGCCCAACTTTATCGACAATGTTATCGATTAATAAATTAATTTTAGAGCAAAAAAGTTCTACAGCGTTTTAAACATTTAGCATTGGGGAAAATATAAGATAATTAAGATACAATTCTAAAATTGTTATAGATTATAGAAATAATATCAGTGTTCGATCACCTATCGTCGTGTCACATAAAGTGCGTTTCTTATATAAATACGTATAGTTTCTATATTTTTTAATATGGGTTTAGAAAATATAACTATTATTTTGCCAGAAAGAGGCAAATAATTGGCCCTAGTTAATTTATACAAATATAAATTAATTGGAGAACGAAAAAAAGATAATATTTTAAGATGGAGGTGTACCAATAATAAATGTGTTTGAATAAATATTTTTGTATAATACACTTCAAATTTAAAAATGACAACGTTGCATAGTTTTTTATGCTCAATCGTGTAGGTTTTCTTTTGTATTTTAATTTTCTTTGATACGCCGACAATTTTGCTCAATCGTGTCACAAAAAAGGTGTTTTATGCTCAATCGTGTTACAGCCATTAGTTAGATTTTATAAAACTTCTAAAATGTATTATATTATTATACTTCGTGGCAGCATAAACTGTATCCTCCATATTAAATCGTTGAGAGCGTAATATTCAAGTATTCGAGTTATCGAATTGTAATTCTATTAATTACTAACCATACCGGCACGGCGTCGCCCGTGAAAATAATTGCTGATCAAATATCCTTTAAATTTTCCCTTGACAAAATATTCACTTTAATACAAGGTCGTCCAGTTGATATATTTAGTGGTACCTTAAATCGTGATCACACTGTATATGTATGTAGTACATTTAGATAAGAAGATTCGAGATATTGAAAACTTGTCTAATAAATTTTCGAATTAACAAAATTATTTAAACATTAAATGTTATTAATATTAGAAGGGAAATTTTATTTATTTAAGTTATCGATAATTTAGAATATTTTTACCAATAGTCGACTGTACCTATACATTTTACTATACGCAATGACCAGTGGCGTATACAAGGTGAAACTTCCCTTATCACAAAAATAAAATTTTTATTTAATAATGCTAGAAAAAGTTTAATGCTATACTGCTATTGAGGGCTACGAAACTTGATTATAATATGTTATGGTAAACACTGCAATAGTGCATTATGCGTGTCAATCATTAGGATGAAAGTGTAGCATTGAGATAACCCTATGCAACAAGAGATTACACTGGCACGTGTTGGCAATTATAAGTAAATTGCATCCTGAAGATTGTTCTTCACCAATAACAAGTAGCAAAACAACTCCAAAAATATCTACGAAATGCAAGGACGCGGGCTACAATAACAAGGAACTTATTTCATATATAAAGGAGCAGCAATATCATATGTACCATAGCCGTTAAGACCTAAGCACCTTTAGTCACTTAGCCACTATATTACAATACTACATGTATTTTAGTTATTTTAATATAAACATATTGATATCAATTTAAATTGTTATAATTATTCATCTCAAAACACCCTAAACTTGATTGCTGAAAGTGCGCACGCAACACTGCTATAGAACTTATCTCATAAATAAAAATTATAATAATGATTAAATTCATTTGATATACTTGTAAATTTATTTGAAACAATAACATTAAAAATGAACTTTTCGAACCTTTGATAATAAAAAATAATTTTTCAATATCATTTTAAAAGTACTGATCACATCTAGAGAACTTCGGTGCTAGCCGTGCTAGGATTTAAATACATATCTAGTTATACTATTTAAAAAATATGCAGTTAATTTTAAGTTGCTTATTACACATGTTGGCTATTTTAACCATAAATCTATTTACCTACACTGTTTTACGGCAAGATGATAATTTATAGATTCAAAAGTTGATAACAATAATATAATTAAAATTTAAATATAAATAAAATTATAACATACTATAAAAATAATTAAATATTAATAATATAATAAATGTAATGTTTTCAACAAAAAATAATCAACCCAATATAATATTTATCATAAAATAAATTACATTTATAACAATATTAAAAAACATATCTTGATAATTCTTGAAATTTAGACTTATCAGCCATACTTATCTGTTTCCAAATCGAAAACTTTTAGAATCGTTTTTCGTATACGTTGACGAATCATTGAATTCAAATTTGAATTCATCAATTACAGTGAGCCACTCCACGTTTGGCATGTCTACTGTACAGTGGAGCGATACTCACTAGTCCTGATTTTTTAAACTAAATCATTCTATTATTAATTACCTATGTAAATAATGTATAATAAATTATAATGTAAATTGTGAATACTTAATAGCTCTGTGTACTATTATTGGATTGAACTTGATTCGAACATAAAGTAAAAAATTAAAAAATGTGATTTGGTTGACAATGTAGTATTCAAGTAAGGTAACCAGTAAATACTTTCTAATCATTAGTAATTTATAAGCAACTTTATATCCGCTTTTAAATTAAATCGAGAAGTATGATATAATACTTTAATGGATATTGTGGTATTTTGTACAATACTAAGCTATGATTTTTTTCTTGAAATTATCTTGTATAATAAATAATATATTTTATTTGATATTTTTACTTATTTATATTGAGGTCGTACACTGCATAGGAGTATTTCTAATCGTAAGGAATGACATATTTTGTATTTCTTGTTTTAGCGGTTTTTTAATACTCTAAAGTTAACAATTGGTGGTGACGGCAACAAGCCATAGGCCAGACGCTAAACACAGTACTGTTTGAAGCGCCCTAACCTAACGCTCCACCATCATCTCTGAAATAGATGGCGTTACGGTCACTTTGTTATCATTATATCAATCGGTCTACCATTAATGACGTTTACCGCCAAAATTACACTAAGCAGATACAAGAATATGTACAACATACTATTATCTATCAATGTACAATCGAAAAACGATGGAAATATTATTATAAATTATAATAATTATAATAAAGTCAATAAGTTATACACGTTTTAATGCAATTTTTTACCAACATCGGACACAGCAGCTTACGTTGAACTTATATTTCTTCACCAAAAGTAATTAGTCTACCGTTGGATGTCATGAATTCCGACGATGAAGATCTTAAAGCTTTGGAGTTGTTCCTAGATGCCGAGATCGATAATAATCCCGTAACGACGCAAAAAATCATAAACCATAAAGAGGGTAAGTGTATTTCTCACCCATTGGTTTGTTTAAATACTTATGCACAACAGTGTACAAGAGTATACTATGTATATCGTTTGTGAATCTTGTATATCATTCTGTTTAATATCTTTAGATGTAATTAAAGACAAAGTTGAAAAAAGTAGTCAACTGCTAGAGAAATCTGGAAATGCAGCTGGAACATTTAGTGACTTTTTCAAATCAATGAAGTCGAAAATTGTAGATTTAGATGAAGTGTCAGTTACAAGTGATCCAAAGAAGAAATCCATGTCTAAAATACCAAAATTTGGTTTTGATCCCACCGCAGATCCTGTGTTTGGCTTATGTATGATCAATCCATTGTTATCATCTCAAACAATTCAAGATAGAATGATTGGAAAAATACCGGTACCTGTCAGCCAAGTGAAAAAACATCTGAAGTCTGCAAACAATTCTGATTGGGTTGTAGCTGGAGTTTTGGTAAACAAATCTCTTCCCAAGACCTCACAGAAAGGTACTCATTGCCTTTTTTAGTATAATTATTTTTTTCCTCAAATATATTTTTATTTTAGGTTCTACATTTAGTATATGGAAGATAAGTGACTTAAAAGCGGGTATGAGTACTGTTACAATATTTTTATTTGGCCGCTCACATGCTGACTTATGGAAAACAGACATAGGATTTGTTGTTGGAATACTGAATCCAAAAGGTGAGACTATATAAACTAATGACTATTTTAACCAATCAGGTAATCAAATAAAAATTTTAGTTTACTTTTTATAAACATTGATAAATCACATGACATTCAGTTATATTTTATTAGGTATATCATTTTTTTTTTTTTTTTTTTTGATAAAATAATTTATTCTTAGGTATATTTATTTATTTTATTTATTAATCAATTAACACCTACAAGGGATAAGGTACAGGATTTGACGTAATCCTTCAGTCAATACATTAAAAATAGGGTAGATAGTATATTTCTATATTTTACTTGTATTTGTATATTATATATTCTAATATAGCAGTTCCCAACATTTTTAGCCGACAGTGCCCTTTTGTTGGTCCAAATTTATCGATGATACTTTCCTGTGAATACTTCAAAGAACATGATATAAATTAACACTATAGTACTCATTAATAACCAATTTAAATAATTTTATTGAACATATTGTAAATTAATTGCAAAATTATAGTTGAAAATATAGAGAACAAATATTAAAAAACAGAAAAATTGGTATAAAAGTTAAAAATGAATGTGAAAAACTAATGAGATTTTTGTGACTGCATATTTTTAAAAATTTTAGTTATGTCTGGTTCAATTTTTGATAAATAGATATGGGGTCAGGTTCTACATGACGGTTTTAATATTCGAGGAAGTCACGCGTGTATAATGTTATCTAAATTTGTGCGGCGTGTATTATTTGTCTATTAATCGAAACAGATTAGAATCACTATTAGATATTATGCAGAGTTTGCTAAGTAATTCTGTACATGTATAATTTTTTTGTCTTTTTAACTATTATAAATTATAAACAATTTTTTCATTCGCTGATGAGCTGTAGTGCCCCTGAAATGAACTTGTAGTGTCCAAAGGACACTGCTGTTCTAATAGATAGTCAATGAACTAAATGCTATTTAATTAGATAATTCATAATGGGGAAGTAAAATATTACCAGTTAAGAATAATGTACTGTAATTTGCAAAAGTGGGTACTAATTGTATCTGTATATTATCTTAGAACCATGTTTATGAGTTTAATATTGTTCCATGTGCTTTGTGCTTTATAGTAAATAAATAGTATTTCAGTTCAGTATATAATTTAACAAATACTAAAAATAAGCATTTATTAATGCTATTTAAGTATCAATAATATTTTTTCAGTTCAATAATTAATATTACAATTAGTTTTCCACACATCACGTTTTTATTTATAATTTTTAATTTATTTAACTTGTTTATTGTAACTATTAACTTAATCTTTTCTGTTGGATATAGTTGACATTGTGCTTTTGAATTAAATGTACTTTAAAATGATGTCACTTTATGGTATAGTTTTTTTTATTTTTATGTCTATCCAAGAATTCTTATTATTTTAGTTTAGCCAAATATCTTTGTGACACTTTAAAAATATCACTATTAATTATTTTAAATTTAATACAGTAAATATGTTAATAAAAATTTTTCAATATTTTAATATACTAAAAAAACAATAATGTTAGTAAATAATAATTGTTAAATTCATAAAATATTTTTGGTATTTGTTCTTAGTTATATATTATATATTTTATCTATTTTAAGTTCTATAATTTTTTAGTTAAACTGATTAACTAAAAAAATAATAACATTTTATTTTCTTAATTAGAAATGGATGGTAAAGATAAGAAGGATGAAGTAGTATTATCCATAAATAGTGGTGACCAAGTGATGCTATGGGGCAGATCCAAAGATTATGGGACTTGTAAAGGAATTAAGAAAAATGGAGATAAGTGTGATATGTTTGTAAACATTAATAAGTGTGATGTTTGTACATTTCATGTAAAACGAGAATATATTAAGCATTGTAGTCAAAGAGCAAATATTGGAAATTCTAGACCAACAGCTGCCCACAGCTTACGAGATAAAGTTTGTAGTTTCACTTAATATTTAAACATTTATTAATTTTACTTATTATTTGTTATTATTAAGTATTATTTTTTATTTTTTTTTGTAGGTATTGGGCAAAAATGAAGTGTTTTATGGTGGTCAAAGTTTTGTGTCTACTAAATCCAATCATTCAAAATTGATGAAAGAAGACCAAGTTAAGCTTCAACGATTGAATCCGGCTAAAAAACCAGCATTAAGCCCAATTGAATCTCATACCATATCTCGTACAACTATTGCTAATCGTCGAACTACTGCTATTAAAGACTTTGTTAATGATATAAAAACCAATGAAATAAGTGGATCAGGAAAAAAGAACATTGAACATAAAGAAGCCCAAAAAATGTGTACATTCAAAGAAATATTAGGTAGCTCAGCAAATCTTAAAAACTTTGGATCTCTGCATCCAAAGTGTGCCAAAGTAAATGCATTGAAATGGATTAAATCACATGGACCAATCCAAAAAGAAAATCCCAATTTATTTGAAAAAAGTAAGAATGGTGGTAATAAAAGAAAATTGCCTGAAGATATTATTTTAGATATGGAACAAAAAAAAAAAGTTGCTATTGAAGAAAAAGTTTCACCAAGATTTTTAGAACTAATGAAAGCTACGTCTCAGAACCAAGACCTTATTGATACAGCTCAGCAAGAAGCTGAGGACAAATATTTTGATCAAATGGATAAAAAAGAAAAAATGGAATATAAAATGATGAACACATATAAGGTGCCATGCAAAGCTGTACGTTGTCTAGTATGCAAATATACTTGGTTTTCAGCATCTGAATGGTGTAAAAATGAAAAACATATGTTGCGTGTACTTGACGCTACTAAAAGGTTTTTCAAATGTAATGACTGCAATTCAAGAATTGCTTGTTTGACAATGTTCCCTTTGATTTCGTGTAAAAATTGTAATGGTTCCAAATGGGAACGAGCTCCAATGATGGGTCATAAAAAAGTTGATGAAATCCATTTAAGTATTCGTGGAGACGAACAAACATTCTTGAGCTCTATGCAACCTAAACTCAGTATAGGCTTAATGGTGGCAGAAGAAGATTGATTGACAGTAAAATTAGTTTATTATTCCTTATATTGCTTAATTGAAAAGTTAATTTGTGGTTTTGAGTAAAAAGTATTTAAAATAACTATTATAGATTATATTCTCTAATATACTTATTTAATTTTGTTCTTTTATGGAATTTATTTGTAATTGAATTAATTAATAATATTTTTTTACTAGAAGTAAAACATTACAAAAACTGTTATGAATGTATAAAAATTATTTCTTTATTCAAGTACTGAAAAGGCATATTATAGGTAATATTGTTTTTACCTTTGGAAATTTAAATGCCTGTTCTACGTTTAATGCATTTCCAATATTAATCTCATTTTCAATAAGATTAATGAATCATTATAGCATTAATTTCTTATCTTTATACATGCATTTAAGAGTACTTGAGTATGTGATACTCAAATTATTATATTATTACGATTATTATTATGCAATACACATAAAACTATAGTTTATTAATATGTGAAATTATAAGTTATCTGGTTTATTATATGCTATTTTGTGTGTACTATAAAATAATAAATTAATTCTTATGAATTTATGATCATTGATAAAATTAAATAACACATATTTTAAGATGGTTTTTTTTCTAAAAAGTAAAATATTTTATTAATATTAATTTTGAAAATTTAAAAACCTTACTAGATTTTATTCTTAGTAATAATTGTATTTTTCAATTAAAATAACTGATATATGATTTTTAATTATTCATGTCATTGTACCTAACAAATTACTTACTATTAAAGAACTTACTAAAATCAAATGGCAATCACACTGGCTCGAACAAACCACCAAATTGAGAAAAATTAAAAACTCCATATTCATTTGGCCCAATTTCCTCACGAAAAAAAGAGAAAGAGTAATTATGAACAGACTTCGCATCGTGCATACTCGACTAACCCACGGTTATCTCATGTCAAAAGATGAAAAACCTATCTGCACAACATATGGTACTGAACTGACAGTCCAACACATCTTCACAGAATGCTGACAATTAATACTCAAAGACACTCGATCAGCTGAACATCTCAACCACCTTAGATGCAGCCCTCAGCCCAAATACAGACTCCACACTCCAAATCTTGACTTTTTTTAAGAAAATATGATTTGTACAAATTAATTTAAAATATTATATGTAAGATACCTAATAAAAAAAAAAATAATATAACGTTTACGACTAATGGCCATTGTTGCCGATGTCTTTTGATCAATAAAAAAAAAAATTACTTACTCATGTTCATTATTGTTATTTTAACACTATTGATTTTTCTGGATTTAGATTGAATTATTCTTAGTATTATATAGCAGTAAGTATTACTTATTTTGTATATTCTTCAGTTTATTTTTGTGCCATAATTCTATGTTAATTTCAGTATAGACTTATGACTAAAGACCAGATTTTTGTGCAGCTAAAATCTAAAAAATGTGTAATTAAAATGTTAAAATGTGCAAAAACATAATTTTCATTATAGGTACTTCAAATTTTAATAAGTAATAAGTAATAACTAATAACTGACTTTACAATATTTGATTAAAATGTATAATCATGTACATTTCCAAGTTTTTTTCTTTAAAATTATATCTTCTGTCACTTAATAATGTTTTGGGCATTGTTTGTAATAGCTTATAATAGCAGGATCTTCTTTTAAATCCATATAATTTCCATTTATTGAATTGTACAGTTTTAAAATATTGTATCCGGGATTTTTATCAAATACTGATTTGAATTTTTTATATAGTATTTGTCCCTTTTCATTTTCAATTGTCTTAAGTCCATCTCTTACTGTTTCAACTACATTTATTTGATAATTTAAAGTTGAATTTACTTCGTATTATATCGTTATATATATAATTATATTGTTAGATTTAAAAATCCAATACTTTGTATAACAACATAATATAGCACCGATAAAAATAATACAAAAATACAAAAATATTTGTACAAAAGTACATTTTATAAAAAAAAAACCCCGTAACGTGCAATTTTGTGCAACATAAAATTTTCTTTAAATTAATCTACATCATTTGATTTGGATTTGTAGCTTGTTTCTATTGAATTTAGAACACGCTATAAAAATATGCAATTTTACGGGAATCTGGTCTTTACTTATGACCAATGGATAATAATTATGAAGCCATAATCTTTTAGATTTATTTTAGATTTTGATAAATGTATAAGTTTTAAAATAATTATTACTATTTTTATTTTTTTTTTTTTTTGTATAATAATAAATTGATCTAGTCGGTGTTTTAAGAAATAAAAATTTAAAATGCTCAATATTTTTTATAATAATTAGAAAAAAAGGAGTTAAGCAAATGTTGACTGCCCTCTGCTGGACATTAGGTGTAGAGTGGATTACTGTAATGGGTGTGTTCAATTTAAACTCATTGATATATGTGTATGGAAAAATAATTTTAAGCAGAGACTTACTGTTACCTAACTAATATTAGGTACTAAGTATAATTTATTATATGTTTTTTGATATAACTATTGTTGCGTCCCTTATGTCAACGTCGATTCATATATCAACGTAGAAATAGAAATACTAATGTTTGCAAGTTAAAAGATTAAGTCTTTATTTAATACAATTAACTCGTACAAGAATACAATTTTATAAGCACAAGATGGTGTGAGTGGTGTTACGACCTGCCTTTGAAATACTGATAGACGAGACCATGAGTGGTGTTACGACCTGCCTCTGAGCGTCTCGAATATCCCTAACCGTCTGCTGAGCTCTTGCCCTGGTCTCCCTTATATATGGTTAACCGTCAAGAGTGGTGACTGGGGAGGTGGTGACTTCCGATGACCTAAAGGAGCTCTCTAAATTAAATGTATTATTCAGTTGGGTGCCTTTCCTGCGATTTCATCGGTTCTAAGAATTACAAGACGTGTGATCAAGTCTTAATTGTCAAATTAAATAGTACAATGTTAACCCTATCGTTTACTCATCATTTCTGAGAAGTCCAGGACGTGTGACCATATCTTATTCATTATATTAAATATCACGATGTGCAGGTGTTCGCCATAGCTATTCGATACTACACTGTTTGAATATGTTATTCCATCGGTATACACATCACCTCTCCATATAATATATATGTGTAAAATAACACGGTACGTAACACTATTAAAGTCATTTACTTTACTTTTAGTAATGCGGTAGGTTGATATAATTTTTTGAGAATTGTAGTATTTATTATAATATTAATATTTAAATATTATTACACGTATAAATACCATATTATATTCCAGTTACTAACTCTTAAGTTAATAAAACCTTACAAAAAATACCCTAAAACAATGTGGATAGATCTTAATATAAATATGTAATACCTAGGTAATTTAAAATTAATCTAAATATTTTTAAAGTTTCAATATTTAAGGTAAAATTTATAATATTCATAAAATCAATAAAGTCCCACGAATTTTTTTTTTTAATTATAACAAAATAATGAACATGATTATTTATTATTAAAATACGCGATTTCATAATAAAATTGGATTTGTAATTTTTTTTTAATTTTTTTAGTTTTAGTATGAACTACTTATGAGGAACATTATATAAAATTTTAAAATCTTGATTAAAAAAAAATTGAGGTTTTATAAATTTTATACTACAAAGTATATCCAGTTAGTAAATTTTTGTGATTTTAACGAATTTTGTAAAAATTAGAACTTCAAATGTATATAAAAAAATATGTCTATGTATTTTTAATATTTTTAAATAGATATAAGAACAACTTAAACGTGATATTGTAATTATTTTAATAAATTTATTTTTGTATTTTGACCCAGCAAAATTTTTTTATCGATATGTATTATCAATATAATAGAAAAAATCGAAAATTTCTAGTACCTTTAAATACTTTTTTAAAAGATTAAAAATATTTTGTACATTATATTATGTATATAAAATATTAATAAAAGCATTTAGTGACAATTTCAAGTATCTATGGTTATCCGTTTTTAAATTGCAGTAAAATAACTAAAATTATTTGAAGAGAAACAATTTTTTTATGCATGAATATGCAATTTTCCGTTAGGGATTTTTTTTTTCTTCTAAATTTAAGTTACAAAACGTTTAAAGAACCTTATATTAAATTTTCAAATTTTAAGTATGAACTATTAGTTCAGCCGCAGCGCTCAACATGAACGCACGTATCTCGCACTGTGTTTGTTCCGTTATCTCTGTTTTACGCTCGTTAATTTATTTTATTCAATTGCCAACAATCGGTAGTTATCATAGACCTACAAATGAGCCAGACGGTTCGTTTGGCCAAGGTCGGCGATAAGTACGTCTTCGTGAAAGATCCAGATCCGAACTGGAGTCCCGGTTCGCCACCTAATCCTACTAACTCAAATCAGTCAAAGCGCAATCTGTCAAATTCGTCTTTATCACCTACCCTTGGCGATAAAAAATCAAAAATTTTCATCACACCAAACAGATACGCCGTTCTCGCCTCCGACGAAATTGAAATTTCTACACCATCTATTACATCCATATCTAATCATGGCAACGCTCACATTATCGATCAGGGCGAGGATTCTCCAGCACCGCCAATTTATATCAAAGATATTTCAAATTACTCATCATTCAAAAACCTCTTAACGAATCTTATCGGTCCGAATGGATTCACGTGCAAATCGTCAACATTATATCTTATTGTTCAGCCTTCAAGTTTGTCAAATTTCAACATAATTGTGAAACATCTAAATGACACCGACGCCAAATTCCACACCTTCAAACCCCGTCAATTTCGATCAGTCAGGTTTGTTATCCGAAACTTACACTTCTCTACCACTGAAAAAGATATTGTTTCTGCTCTATCAGAATTGGGATACTCTGTCGTACATGTTCAAAACATATCAGATAAAAACAAATGCCCCTTACCTCTATTTTTTATAGAAGTTTCTCAAGATGCAAACAATGTGGGTATCACAAAAATTTCGTCTTTACTTAACACTAAAGTCATTATAGAAAAACCGCACAAAAAGAACCGCGGTCCTCCGCAGTGCCATAAATGCCAATCATATGGCCACACTCAAAATTATTGTCACCACATCGCGCGCTGCGTTAAATGCGGAGCAAATCATCACACCAAGGAATGTTCCAAAGATCGGAATAGCCCGGCAAAATGTGCCCTGTGCTCCGGGAACCACACCGCCAACTCCAGGGGCTGCCCTGCTTTCATAAGCGCTCAAAAAAACCCAAGTCCTCTCAAGGCTTCTCCAACCAAAATTCCGGCGCTAAACCCTCATCCCAGACCAAAATCATACGCTGAAGCCACCCGGATCAAAGATTTTTCCACAGATAATTTTCCCGTCCTATTATCTAACTTTATAACCAACCTCAACTCTCTAATCAGTCCTCTAATTACTCTCCTCTCTTCAGTCCTACACACATTAATCCCCAAAACTTCCTTATCTCCATAGCTATTTCTGTAATAATTTTTCCTTATATAACATAATAGTAATGTATTTTATTTTATGTCTAAAACTAAACAGTATATTATATTTTAACTTACTTACTGCTATCTTATCTCTTGTATTGGCTACGGCGTATGCTACGTCGAAACCTTACAAGACTCTTAATAGGTGTGACTATATATAATGTATAATGTTTAACCTATAATATTATGTATTACGTATAATTGTTGAGCTGTAATAATATTTGACTAAAAGCTAATAAAAATTTAAAAAAAAAAAAAGTATGAACTATGAATATTAAAAAAATCAAAAATGTTCAAACCTACCTGTAAATAACTAAAATATTCAAAATATTTTGAAAATTTTACCAGTGTACTACGATAATATCTACGAGATATTCATTTAAATGTATACTTTTATTATAATCATTGCATTTTTATGTTGATCAAATGTGTAATAAACTCTACTATGAAACCAATTGAGATTTTGTTTAATTTTCATTGTGTCATAATAAATTATTATATTAAAAAAAAAAAAATGTTTATTATAGAATTATAGTTGAACGGCATAATAGATATGTTATTGAAGTTTCACCCATTTATAATTACGATATCTAGTGGTGATTTTTGTAACTAATCAATAATACTAACGAACGGCTAAAATGGTTTCAACAAGAATCGGATGTGTTGGACATTCGCTTAAATATCATCAACCAACGGTAAGTTGATTTTGATTTTTGATAAAAGTGTTTCTAACAAGTAATAACAATATTTTGTGTTAAACTGTTGTTAATTGTTCAACGTCATTAGCTTTAACATTTCTTATAGCCGGGGTATACATATCATATGGTCATAAGTTTAAAGAAATGTTTAGGTATACCATAATAAGCCAAACCTATGTCTACCACATTGTAGGTACCTCTTCATAAAGTTACAATACCGACTAAATTAGTTTTCGATATGATAATTGTCTTAGAGGGTATGATAAGTAAGACTTTTTAGGTGTTAACGCGTATTTACTCAGCTGTGTGATACAACAATACGAAAAAGTTTTTAAGTTCTCGTGAACTGGTTAATATCGTTATTCATAATTAAAATACGTAACTTTATTTTAATTTAAGCTTCTTGAAATATCAAAATGTCTATAAAAATACTTGTGTTTGTATATTTTTTTAGATTTTTTATTTAAAAAAAACTATTTATGAGAAAAATTACATTACATTTTCAAACTTTAAATATCAAAATTAAATATTTTTTAAATTCTTTACTAGAAACTACGAATAATTTGTAATTTTTGTGATTTTGGTAAATTTTGAAATAATTTTAACTTCAAATGCAAACAAAAAATTGTGCCAAAGTATTTTCAATTATTTTATACAAATATAAGAACAACCTATGTAGGATTTTGTAGTGTGCAATTTTTAAGAATTTTTACCCTTCAAATATTTTTTATTGACATTTATGCGAAAAAATTTGAAAATTTCAATCGTCTGTAAATAGCTTAAATAGATTAAAAATATTTTAAAAATTGTACCAATTAAAAAAGCTATTAAATACCATTGCACAGTTAATTGTTTATCATAACTTCGTATACAAGCTGCGACTTATGTTTTTAAAGTTTAAATTTACTTAGTTGCTCTATAATCATTTCCTTGATTTTCAGCTGTTCCATTAGTGTAAGGTTAGCTGTAGTTTGTTTTATATTATATTATATGCTTATAAAATTTGAAGTTATGATTTTGTATTTTATTAAGTAATAATATTAAAATCGAAAATAAAATATCATGTTTGAAACACATTAGTATACTTAAATTAATTAGGTAATACATATATTAATCCAGCGGTTCCCAACCTGTGCATCGTAGCTCATCCGCGTATGAAAAAAATTGTTTAAACACGCTGCACAAATTCCGATAACATTATACACGCGTGACTTTCTCAAATATCGAAACCGCCATGTAGAACCTGACCTCCGTATCCAGTTGTTAATAAACTTTCCAAAAATATGTAGCCACAAAAATCTCACATTCATTTTTAATGTTTATATTAGTTTATCTATTTTGTAATATTTGTTCTCTTTATTTTAGGCTATAATTTTGCAATTCATTTATGATATGTTCAATAAAATTATTTAAATTGGTTATTAATGAGAACTATAGTGTTAATTTGTATCATGTTCTTTGTAGTATGCACAGGAAAGCATCATCGACAAATTTAGACCAATAAAAGGGCACCGCCGACTAAAAAGATTAGGAACTGCTGCATTAATCTATAACTTACAATAATTTTAATACATTATTACCAATGTTAAATGAGCCAAATGTAAACTCCTACACGAATAACCTTTTTACCTGTATCATCATTAAATGTAAGCTATTACATCAATAACCTTTTTACATTTTTTCCTAAAAAAAAAATAAGATAATATAATTTGAATTCACAATTTTGGAGTTTAAAAGCTCAAAAAATTAAAAATGATCATAACTTGAAAATAATAAATATATAAAATACAAATACCAAAAAAAAAACGTGTTTGTACGACGTATAATAGGCTGGTTATATCCACATTATATACCAGGGGTCACCAATTAATATTTTCCGCGGGCCACATTAAGAATTCGGAAAATTCTCGCGGGCCATAAAATTTCAAAATACAATACTACAGCATTGTACAAATCATTTCCTTTGCTGGTCCCTGATAACGGTAAAAGTGTCAATAACTCTTCGTAAAATGTCCCACTGATATTGCTCAAGTATCTCACGTGAATTATTAGCTGAGAGTATCTGTGATATCACAAGATTTATCCAAGGCTATAAAATAAAAATCAGCAGTAGATAGATCTTGTTTCAACTGATTGTGATTATTTTTGGCCAGTACTTCAGTATTTCTCGTGTTAGTAGATGCTGATATTGGGATATGACGAAAAGTTTCGATAATTTCCTTTTTATTTCCAAACAGTATATTTACAGACTGAAGCATACATTCTTTAACAATATCAGCATCTGTAAATGGCTTCATATTTTTACCGAGTATCCACGAAATTTGTAAAGATGCCTGTGCACATTTCTGTTGTTCAGTCAAAATTTGAGTTGCCGATTTGTATTTCATTTTTAGATTTTCAATTTTTGTTTTACGAAGGCCAGTACCCAATAGGAATTTTTCGGCAAATGACTTGTGTGTCTCATAATGACGTTTGATATTAAACACTTTCATAACAGTCACTGTTTGATTTGTAATCAAACAAACAGGTAAGGCACCTACTCTATCTGGTAAAATAAAACAATATAAGTCCATCCATTCAGGACAAAACTGTCTATTTTCATTTTCTACTTTTCTTCTTTCTCTATCCATAGTCAAATTAAAACAAAAAATAATATATTATTTAATTACGAAAATTAATATAAAAATTAAAATTAAATAGAATAAAAATTATGTCGCAGCGGACACCACCGCCTCACCGATAACTGACGGATTGACGTGTTGTACGTATATTAGTATGTGTGACTTAACGAGTTGTCGACTTGTCGTAATGAAATTTCAAATAAATAATAAAACAGATAAGATAAGATATACTTTACAGCTAGTATAATATTTTTTGTAGCCGAAAAAACCTAATAATGCAGTAATAATGCACAAAAATAAGAAATTACCTGCAAAATTTATTATTAAAACAGTCGCGTAATAAGTACGTATTAAATTATTGGATTTTTCTCTCAGTCTGCGGGCCAGTTAAAATGCATTCGCGGACCGCCATTTGGTGACCCCTGTTATATACTATATTATAGGTTCATATCAACATTTGCAGTATAAAATGTTAATAGATCAGTGATAGTAATTAGTATGGTATCAACACAATGCAGACAAACAAAAATAACTTAAAAATATAAATTTATAATATATACCCCAAAAAATAAATATATACAATGAGAAATTTCACGTTTAGAGTTAATCTCTAAAGTATACCTACCATAAAAAATAAACATAAATGATTATAAGTTATAACTATTATTTCATTAAGTTTTTATATTTTTCAAACAATTTTTGTTCTAACCTATAACTTTATACTTTTGTATAATATTATGTATTAATATATCATAAGACTGATTTTTACAGTGGTATAATCGGTATTCTTTTTTATCATCTTTTGTAGGAGTTAACATTATGTCTATGTAGGAGATAACATTATATTTGTAGAAGTTTACCATTCCCCGTTAAATGTATACCATAGACCATAGTTATTAATTGTACCGTCATAAGAAAAAGTAGATATGCAGTTGTGGTAAACCCAATTCCCATGTAGTTATTTTAGTTTTTAAAATATAATAAATTATACGTGAAGTATAATTTATGCTGAGAACTAATGTAGGTATTAACAGTCAATTTATGGTGAATAGGTAAAGCCTAGATCAAAGGTGAAAACAACTTGTTGTTTTTACTTTATGCATAAAAATGCATAATAGACACGAACAGGATATTAAATTAGAATATAGAATAATCACATCACCATTTACGTCATTGACAGGGCCCATAAATACGGGTAGAGCACCTAGCATTAGTAGAAAAGGTAGTTATAGTTAACTATAAAGAAGGTAGCAAACAGTAGACTTGTGCACAATGAGCTTACGACAGTGAATTCTAGATTTTATTTTAATTGTTTTAAAACTGTACAAATAAAATGTATATTTTATTTGTAACTTAAAGAGTGTTCTTTTATTTTTAATATACCTTCTTTCCTCGATACGTCTCAAAACTACGTAGGACGTGCTACGTCATTTAAATAATAATCATGGTACCGATCGCAGTGTCCTGCACAGTGATCACTTCACAGTGAACAGTTAATTGTCAAAGAGGTTACAAAGTAATATGTATCACGTAGGTATTCTAGTATTTCAAAAACTAGAGAAAAAAATTAAGCCCTCCCTCAAAAAAAAAAAAATTCTTACTATGGCAATGTTCAACTAAATTTTATAAGATTTCAAATTATGATTATTTTCAACATTTCATTATAATTGCTTATATCAAACCATTTAAAAAGTGGATGTATTTTATCCTCTAAAAAAGTAAAATAAAATTATAAATAATTTACTATCTTCAGAGAATTGAAGTTCTAGAATTATTAAAAAATATATAAAGTAAAAACTTGATGATTCAATCATCAATATTTCAAACAAAATAGGTACTTACTAGGTATAACAGAATCTGTTTAAAAATAGTTGTAGTGGCTTAAAAAATTAATTTGATTTTTCCTTAATATATTACAACTGTAACTATTTGCTTAAATATTTCTAAACAGCTATTGAAGAAGTATACATCAAAAATGAAGTACCCTATTTTTCACGTTTTTGAAATTCTTTTTCATAATAACACTATATTTTTAGTCATTATAAATATGTTTATAATGACATAAGATACACTCAGTAAAATAATGTTTATATTTAATCGGGGCAAGAGTACCCTACCGTGCAAACCTCTAAAAAAATATAAACCGTAATTTATCGTTTCGTTGTACGAGTATTATATAATAATACATATTCAGAACGAAACACCAACGCACAGTTAAAGTGGTTATAAGGGGTGGCTTGGTTTAGTAACTTGCGAGCATATACCTATGACAAAACAAAAAAATTAATTAACCGTCACCATAATGGTCGCACCGGATATTCATGGCAGTGTCTGTACAAAACTATTCGTCTTATAAATATATGATAAAACTCATGGTGCCGTGAAAACGATTGGGTGACAACACCGCAATGTTTATTGGTTTTTGTTCTTTATCCTCCGAACAAATTCGATTCGCATCGGCTGTTGTTTTTTTCATTTTTCAAACTAACTCACTTTTGTTATTCATGGATAATAATATAAAAAAGTACACCATGCAGCTTACACACGATATATCATCGTCTGGAGATGTATTAAATATGCCACTTTTCACCGCTTTACGTATATTTGTTTTTCGTAAATATTTATTATATTTATAATCCCTGGTTAGACAATCGCCATAGTAGGTATTACTATAATAATTACAACCACAGAAGTCAATGAGAGATGACTTGAGTGCGTGCTGCGTGCATACAGGTCAACGAATACAGATATAATATATTCTTAATATATACGGTGATTCACCGTATACGTTTAATACTTAAAGAGTGTTCTGTAGTGATACAAACTTTTCTTTTTCAAGTAAAAACAATTTAGTGGATGATATTTTTGAGCGTTTTAATGTATCTAATAAAAATTAAAATGAGTAGTTTCTCAAATATTCAAATGTTTATAACTCGAATAATAGCCCTTAAAAATGGTTTTTACAAAAATATAAAACAGATGTAATATTAGATCTAGTAGATTCTGTAGATCTAGAATTTGTTATGCTTAGACTATTTTTATAAATTATAAATATTAATAAATTAACATCGTAGCTACATATTTTCTAAACCCATTATCGTGAAACTTTTATTCTTAATATACAAATTTAAATAACTTAAAAACTACTGGTTAAAATTTTGATTTTGAAAGGTGTGTGAAGATTTTTAAAAAATGATCCGCTAAATAACTTAGAATAAAAAATAGGAATTCTTATTGAAAAACAGATGTTTGTATCTACAAATGTGATCTTTAATAATACAAAAAACAATTAAGAATTTAAAAATATGAATTTTAGTCTTTATGTTTACTTAAAAATTCTAAAATCAGATTTAGAATAACTGTATTATTGGAGGGGAAAAAGGAGTTGAGCATGCTAGATGAATTTTATTATAGAATGTACTTTGTATATAAAAGGATATACATATTACATCTGAATTCTTTGTCCTATATATATAATTAGTAATTACCTTGTATATGTATCTATATATCTTATATCTTCGAAGTGTGGTCGATGTAAATTTCATCATATATTAACGTAATTTTAATGCACTGTATAATGTATATTATATAGGTTTAGACTGTTTAGAGTCATTATTATTATTTATCAATCTAGAAGCTTTTGTTATTTTGTACGTTTATGTAACTCGTTTAGCAATGTATTTTTTTTTTCGAAAAATTAACCTACCACAGAATAATAAGTACCGGTAAATAGTAAAAGGTATATTTAAAACGTAATCTATATTAATAAAAGAAAATATGTGTGTGCATGTGTGAGTGTGTGTATACATAAGGTTAGATTAGATATAACAAAGTAAATTCACTGAAATTATTTAATTTGTTACAGACTTGAATCAATTAGTATATTATAACGAGGTAATGACATAATATTATATTGAATGCAACAATAGGACGCTGGAAAAAAAGAAAACTTCAACGATAGACCTATTCTCATTGTATATATAGAAGCCTTTGTCCCGTAAAAGATATTCCTTGCCATAAAAAAGTGTACGGGCCAATCGATTTTCGCTCAGGGTGTGTCGTGGTGGTGACCCCTCGTCGCATCCCTTTTGAAAAAAAAGAAACCTTTGCTAGCAAGAGAAAACTTTTAGTTTTGGGATATAATCAATACAAGTGTCAAAACGGTGCGTAGAATTTGTGTTATTTTAAATAATAATCACTACAATACACATACATACACTCGTAGGTATGTATATTTTATATGTGTGGAGTAATATAGTGTGTTAAGAAGAAATGTGATTTTATTACGTTTAAACATTTTATTAATAAATACCGTTTTTTTGTCCATTTTAGTAATATATCATTATTTCTTTATAGCAAAGTCTTTTACTTAAAATTCATAATTATAATATAAATGTTAATATCAATTAATACATTAACATTAATGTATTCTTAAAGTTAATATTTTTAAAAATAAGATGTGATATGGTTATTACCATTAGTCTAATTTGGACTGATAAACAATTATGCGATAAAATTAATAAAGCCATTTAATATTTTACCATGAACTAAGAAGATCTTCTTAGTTCATGTATTTTACATTGTACAGCAGCGTTATATCTGTTATTACTATATGCATGTATTATTAAGAGTTTGTAAATGTATTGAACAATGAACATCTGGTATATACTTTAGGTTAGGTTTATTTATTAAAATATAAAATAAATTACCATTAATTAATTAAATTAACTAAGATGAGAAAAATAAATTCCATTTTATGTATAAAAACCAGTAAAACTTGTAGTATTGTTATTTTTAATTATTATTACTTTGTAGTTCTTACTAATATTAATTATAATACAATATATCAGATTTTCAATAAGTATACCTAACCTAACCTATAGTCATGTTAATAATGAATTTATCTTAGCATAAATATAATTTAAGAAACTACAATTTATTTTTATTTTTTCAAGTATTTATATAGGATCTAATTTCCTTGATTTTAATGAGATTTCGTTGTCTTCATC